AGGTGGAGGCGAGGAGAGGGAGGAGAGGAGGAGGATGAGGGAGGGGAGGAGAGGAGGAGGAGGAGGGGGGGGGTGGCAGCGGCAGCGAGGACGCCGGCGCGAAGGACTGACTCAGGATGCGAGCCAGGGGGAGGCGCAGGGCCAGGTCGCCCGGCGGCGGGGGGGGGGGGCAGGGCCCGGCCAGGCCCCACTGCGTGGCCGAGAGAGGGTCCCCTCCTCATCCTCCATCCTCTCTTCCCCTCCTCCTTCATCCCTCCTCCTCCCCCTCCTCCTCCTACTCATGCCCCTCATCTACTCATCCCTCCTCATCATCATCCTCCCTCTCCTCCTCCCCCTCCTCCTCCTCCTCCTCCTCCTCCTTAGCCTGGATCGGGCAAGAGGGGGGGCGGATGGGGAGAGGGGGCGGGGGGCGGCATTTGCTGCCTGTAGCCGATCTCGGTCCCGCGGCCGGGCGCTAGCCTCGAGGCATGGGCGCCTGCGGCGCCCCTTGCTGTCACCCCTGATCGTCCGGCCCGAGGAGCGCACGGAGACAGACCGGGCGACGGGAGATCTTACTGCTGTCGTGGCGGCTTTTTGACGCTGCATCTCGCCAGAACAGCCCTCTCAAGTGACGGTGTGCAGACTCGAGGTGGGGCTCGGGCGCTCCCCCGGCTGAACTATCCAGCTGCCGGCGGCAAGTCCCGCCACCGTGCCAGCCCAGCATTGTGCGTGGCGACTGTTCGAGGGAGTGTGGGAGGCCGTCACGTGTGACCCCTCGTGTCTCAAGGCTTGGGCGAGCCGAGATGAGCATGATGAGGATTACGAGGTTGATGGTGCTGAAGACGACGATGGTGATCATCATCATGATGATGCTGCTGATGATGCCGACGACGACGACGACGGTGACGATGCTGATGCTGATGATGACGGAGACGATGTTGATGGGGCAGATGATGGTGATGATGATTGTGATGATACTGATGCTTAAGCTGATGATGATGAAATGGTGGTGGCGGTGGCTATGAGGATGGTGGTGATGATGGTGACGTGGATGATGAAGCTGATCATGACAGTAAACAATCATGCTACTGCTGATGATGGTGATGGTGATGGTGACGAGGAGGAGGATGAGGATGCTGATGATGCTACTGGTGATGATGATGCTGCCCATGATGCTGCTGCTGATGATGATGATTATGAATCAGACGACGGCGATGATGATGCTGATGCTGATGCTGATGCCGTTGACTTTGGTGATGATGTTGGTGCTGATGATGACGAGGATGACGCGGTTGATGATGATGATGACGATGATGTTGCTGCTGTTGCTGATGATGCTGCTGCTGTTGCTGATGATGATGATGCCGATGGTGATGGTGATGATGATGATGATGCTGATGCTGATGATGATGCTGATGCTGATGTTGATGATGATGATGCTGATGCTGATGCTGATGAAGATGAGGACGAGGATGATGATGCTGATGCTGATAATGATGATGATGATGATGATGATGATGATGATGATGATGATGATGATGATGCTGATGCTGATGCTGATGCTGATGCTGATGCTGATGCTGATGATGATGATGATGATGATGATGATGATGATGATGATGATGATGATGATGATGATGATGATGATGATGATGATGATGAGGGTGATGGTCATACTCATGACACTCGTCTGGTCCGTCTGGGGGCTGTCCTGGGCTCCCATGGGGCAGTATTGGTGGTTCCCTGTGGCCCGCTGGGGCGTTCTTGGGGCCCTCGCACACCGGCTTGTGGCTCCCTCGGGCCGCCTCGGGGGCCTCTTGGCCGCGTGGTGCGTGTCACGGGGGCCGCAGCGGGGGCCGCCTCGGCGCCGGCCTGGGCCGCCGGACGGCCCTCCGAGGCCGTCTTGGATCCCACGGGATGGGCCGTCTTGGGCTGTCTTGGGGCCGGCGAGTGCTCCGCGGAGGCCCCTCGGAGGCCCTCCTGGGCCGTCTTCGGGCCGTCCTGGATGCCTCTTTGGCCATCGTGGGGTCCTCTCGGGCAGTCTTGAGCTGGCGGCAGCCCGAAGAGGCGGCAGTGCGAAACAGAGTCAGCAACTGGGTGGGCATCAAGAGATCTGGCGTCGTCTGACCCCGTTGGATGTCCTCTTGTGGCAATTGTGGGCCCTCCTGGAGGCACCCTGGGCCGTCTTGAATTAAGATTCGGCCGCCTGGGGCCGTTGTGGGCCGTCGTCGAGGCAGCTTGGGCCATCTTGGCGTCCTTGGTTGCCTGCACGGGCCGTTTTATCCATCGCTTTTCAAGAGGGGTGGATTGGGAGGCCCGGGAGCGCTTGGGAGCAGCGCCTGGGAGTGCGGGAGGTGCACGAGCATCGAGGGGGTTCGCGTGGGATGCGAGGTCTAGGAGTTAGCCGCCATGCAGGAAGTGCACAATCCTCGAGCGGGCGCGCATGAGATGGGGTCAGGAATTAATCGCCATGAGTGAATTGCACCATCCTCGAGCGGGCGCGCATGGAATGAGGGTCCAGGCATTAGTTGCCATGGGGGAGATGCACGATCCTCGAGCGGATACCCATGCAATGGGGGATTAGGGATTGGTTTCCATGCTTGAAGTGCGCGGGCACGAGGGAAGTTGCCTCGGAAAGGAGGTGCGGTGTAGGCAAGAGTCTGTTGGTAGATGGAGGGGCGGCCCATCAGCAGACTTGAAGATATTCTACCAGGCAGACCATGGCATGTTTCCACGCCTCGACGTGCCAGTAGGCAGGGTGGCGTATCACAGCGATCAAGTTTACGCAGACGCATACAGTCGACCCGCAGAGTAAGGATAGGCATCCCTCCCAAGGGTACCCTTGCATCCTTGCTTCCTGGGTCTGTCCTTGGACGCTTTCGTGGGCCGCGCCCCGCTCGGGAAGCTTCCGAGGCCCTTGCATCCTTCTCGCGCATCCTCCTTCTGCGGGTTGACTGTATACGCACCGATCGCGCATCCAGCCCGATCTGTGACGGTCGCGAAGGTAAATCGCGCTTCGCGCGGTGTCTCGTCTCGTTTTCTCTCTCCGGAGAGGGACGGCGCGAGGGCGCGGAAGGCAGCACAGCTTCGTGCAGCGCGACGCGCGAGGTCAGGAGGAGGCCACGGTTTTTGCTCGTCTAGCCTTAAATCGGGCCTGCGTGAGCTCCCCATATGTGCATCTATTCGCATGTACCTGTCCGCCGTGAATGTCTAGGCGCAAGAGCTTTCGAATATAAACCGGCTTCAGTTGTGGCGGTCTGGTCATGAATCTAACTGCGAATGACTTGGAGTGTGAATGAGCCTCAGCAGTACGAGCGCGTCTCTGCGCATGAGCCTGGGGCCTCCTGGGGACCCCTGAAACCTACTGGGGCTTCCTGGGGCCTCCAGGAGCCTCTTGGGGCCTCCTGGGGCCTCCTGGGACCTCCCAGGGAGGCTTCGTGCCGCAGGAGAGGCCCATTCTATAGCAACCGACGTACATGAAACATTGCGGATTGGAGCCGCAGGAGAAGGGCAATCTATAGGAACATACGTAAAGCACCAAGGACTCGTGCCCCAGGAGAGGCCCAACATATAGGAACATCAGTAAAACATGTAGGATTGTGTTCACAGGAGAAGGACAATAGTGAGAAACATACGTATAACGTCAAGGATTCGTGCTCCAGGTGAGGCCCAATCTATAGGAGCATACGTAAAACACATGGGATTGGAGCCACTCCTGTTGCCTTCTGAGGCCTCCTGCTCCTGGGGCCTCTCGGGGCCTCCTGTTGCCTTCCGAAGTCTCCTGGCGCTTCCCGTGGCCTCCTGGGGCCTCCTGTGTCTTCCTGAGGCCTCCTGGAGCTTCCTGGGGCCTCCTGGAGCCTCTTGGGACATCTTGTGGCCTCTTGAGTCTTTCTGTGGCCTTCTGATGCCTCCTGGGACCTCATGTGGTTCCCAGGGGCCTCCTGGAGCTTGTTGGAGCATCTTGTGGCGTCCTGAGGAGAACCTGTGCCCACGAGTCTGGCCACCAAAACAGGCAAGCCGAACGAGACAACCTCCAAATCTGCTCCGACAGCGAAGGATGTTGGGACAGAACACAGGCAAACTGCTTGAGCCATCCCCACAAAACGGCCGCGAACGGGACCGTGTCATACCCCTCGGCGGCCCCCCTGAGGGGCGTGAAAATGAGCGCCTCGCTCGAGACATCCTCCAAATCTGCTCTGGAAGCGAAGGATGTTGGGACAGAAAACAAGCAAACCGCTTGAGCCATCCCCACACCACGGCCGCGAACGGGACCGTGTCATACCCCTCGGAGGCTCCCGTTAAGGCGTGACAATGAGCGCCTCGCTCGAGACATCCTCCAAATCTGCTCCGAAAGCGAAGGATGTTGGGACAGAACAGGCAAACCGCTTGAGACATCCACACAAAACGGCCGCGAACGGGACCGTGTCATCCCCCTCGGCGGCTCCTTTTAGGGGCGTGAAGATGAGCGCCTCGCTCGAGACATCCTCCAAAGCTGCTCCGAAAGCGAAGGATGTTGGGACAGAAAACAGGCAAACCGCTTGAGACATCTTCACAAAACGGCAGCGAACGGGACCGTGTCATACCCCTCGGCGGCTCCCCTTAGGGGTGCTGAAACCAGCGCCCAGCCTGAGACGTCCTCACAATTTGCTGTGTGTAGAATATGTCAGACAATGAGAAGGCTTGAGTGTAAGTCTGAGTAAGTCTGAGTATGAGTAGGTCTGAGTATGAGTAGGTCTGAGTATGAGTAATTTTGTGTGTGAGTAAGTCTGGGTATGAGTACGTCTGAGTGTGAGTCAGTCTGTGTATGAGTAAGTCTGGGTATGGGGAGGAGAGAGAAGAAGAAGAAGCGGAAGAGGAAGAAGGAGTTGGAGGCGTACAAGTACAAGATCTTCATCTTAGGATATGGGGAAATAGTCAAAAATGAAGATGTTGGACCATTTTGGGTCCGTAGCCATTTTGGCTCAAGCCGTTGGCAGGTCGGCACCCTGCAGTCCTGGTAGCGGGCCTCCGCGGCGCAAGCCATGAGCGACCCGCTCCTGAGGTGGGCACCGGAGGTCGACAGGATCTACGATGAAGGTGGGCAGGTCCCACCAGGAGCGATCCCGCCCGAATCCCATCGCTTCAGACCGACGCCTTTGGGATTGAATTTCACCATGGGCCCAGGGCTCCGGTGGGTCAGAGCAGCGACGGTCTTCACACTTATCATGTGGATGCTCCTCATGCTTATTGCGTACACCCAGTTGACATGCGACCTCGAGACGCTCGACGCTCGTGCCGCAAAGTACCCCATGTGGGTCATGGCCATCATGCCCGTGTTGTCATCTGTGGTCGTACTCGCGGAAGCGAAGGCCCTGATGTATTGCATGCGGCCGTTCAAAGAGTTACGGAGTGATGCTGGCTTGACAGAGGCCCGACTCGGCATACTCGGTATTTTCAAAGTCAGCGATACGAAGTAGAGTCTGTTTAGGTTGTTCTCGACATTCGTGAACGTGTTCTCCGGCTTGTATGTCTTTGGCCTCAACATGGTGCAGTCAGCAGGGGATCAGCTCTGTCGCGGCACGACCCTCTGGCATTTCGCGTGGGATGCGACGATGTTGCAATCATGGTTTTCGTTCATGTCACTTTACTTCTGGGACAAAGTGGGCAACCTTACGCACTGCTATTTTGCATGTGTGGTTCTTCTGTTCATATCTTTCCCGAGGGCGCTGCTTTATTCCATCTAGGCACCTTTGCGAGCCGACGAGATAGTGTACGACAGGGAAGGCAACAGGCGAGACCGGTCGACCATGGAGAGGGGAACCACATGTTGTTTCATTTAGATGCTTCGGGTTTGTAGGGACGCCTGGACGCCAACGCCACCAGTCGACATGGCTGTCAGGGCAGTGTACGACATGGAAAATGAGTACTGGACTAGAGAAATTCAGACGAGAAGTAGTTTCGGTCAACATAGACGATGAGCAGACCAAAAGGACGTTCATACAGATGCAGCGGCGCTTGATCCTCGTCCTCGAGGCGGCACTCCGGCAGACGTACGGCCACACCGTTATGAGAGGCGGCGTCATCCTCAATCTGCAGGTGACGCAGTTCTATCTCCACAGGGCAGTCATGTTGCACACCATGAACACTATTTATATGGACCACCCGACGCTTTACTCAATCTTGTTCACGGTTGGATCTGTAGTAGTGTTCGATTTGATGCTCCAGTTGAGACAAGCTTTACAAATGTATTGTCAAGTGATGCGGACCATCCGCAGCACGGTTTCTGGTGGTACGACGCTTGAGTCGATAGGCCCTGAATGTAAGAACGACAAGAAGACGATTAATTTGCTCATGATGTATGTGATAATTTGGGCAGTCATTGGTTACGCGCTTTTCGCATACGCCGTCCTCAAGCTGTACATGTCGCTCACGGCTTGCCCAGGTGAAGGTTACAATTTGTTCAGCAGTTGCGCGCCGATTCCTTGGGACTGCTTGAACACCACACTGCATCCCGACACGGTAGGCTGCATCCGGAACGCTGTATAATCTCAGGCTCATGCTTGCCAGGGAGTCTGATGTGAATCAGTGCGCATCATGGTCGCATGCGTCCCACTTCTCCTGCCCACTCCGCCTTGTTGCTCCTTCTACTCCATCTTCGGACCAGCTATTGCCATGAACGCGTGCTGGAGCCTCGCGTTAGGTATGGTCTATATATCATGTGTTGCGCTTTTGAATGCCTGCCGTCAGAACTTACGGTTGTATACTCTTCTTTCGTATATGCAGATGTTTCACTTCCGCCCGTTTGCCACCACGAGGGGTACCGGTAGCAAGCACAATACCTTAGGCTGCAATAGCCTCTACCTCTCATGCCCTCTTGCTCGCTCTTTCGCCTCGACCCGCGCCCTGCAGGGCACCACCTCCGACGCTTGTCGGGCATTTAATTGCGCCTCAGCTATTTCCGCTCCCCCCTCTATCGACCTCCCCCTTCCTCACCAGAAACTCGCCCTGTAAGCGACCTCGTAGGCCCTAGGACTCGTCGTCTGGGATGGATGGGGGGGGGTCACAGGGTGGGAGGGAGTAGCAACGATCAAAGTTGCACAACAAGAAAGTTTCTTTAGTCGCCGAGGTCACATGGAGCACGTGCCGCTGTCCCTCGTTAGATTAGGCCCGCGTGGCACGAGGTCGACGGTATCGCGAACTTTGTTCACGCGCCGCGCCACCGAGACCTAAACAAGAAAAAGAGGTTTGACCATTTCGGGGAAATGTTGGAGTACTTTTATTTTTCGTCGAAAATCCCCCTGTAGGGGGACACGCCCGGCTTAAGTCTAGACAGTCCATGACATGTAATGGCCCGCTTGCATTTGTTGGCCCACCTGCCAAATCAAACGCACCTCTAAGCCAGCGCCCGCTGGACAAAGACACGTGCACGTCCTGCTGCGCGATCCGCCTGGCTGGTCACTTCGCGCCGGCGGACCCTCGTGCGCGCGTGCGTAGCACTTCGCCTGCAGACGCATAGTGGGAGGAGGAGGAGGAGGAGGAGGAGGAGGAGGAGCAGGATTGCTGGTTTCTTCTGTCAAACAAAGGTTTTCCTGTACCCTAACCGAGCCTGCGCCCGCGCCCCAGTCGTCGCCGCCGAGCCGTCGTCATCGCCGCCGCCGCCGTCATCGCCGCCTCCCTCGAGGGGAGCCGAAGCAGGTGTGACTGGTTCAGGGGGCTGGGTAGTCGAAGGCCAGACTGTCAGATTGGATTGGGCCCCAAGGGCCAATCTGGCCTGGCCAAACTGGATGATTTGGGTTATTCGCCAGACTTGATTCGCGTTGGCTCCCTCGCCAGATTGCCCCCGTTTGCCAGATTGGGCCTGCCAGATTGGCGCCAGATTGGCTTCGACTGCCCAGGGGGGGGATCTTCGGCCTGGGATCGACGACTCGTCGCCAACAGACTGTCGACAGGCCTCTGGTAGCGACGGTTGGGCATTCGGAGCCATGATCTCAGAGGAGTCGGCGATGGAGGATCGATTGTCTTCTTGCTTGCTGAGCCAGTCCGCCTGGAATTCCTGGAGGCTTCCAGAGAGAGGCTTCGGGAAAGACGGGCTTGGCGGGCATCTGCGACACCTCGGTCTTCCTCTCGGGACGCAGGCCTCCGTCGTCGTGCTGTTTCACTGCGAGGTTCCCGCAGCTCTCGATCCCTTTTCTGGGACCAGTCTTTCCCCCCTTCTATCCAGTGGCGCTGCCGCGCGTATCTGCCATCGCGCTCGTGGAGGCATCCGGGAGGCATTTTTTTTATGGGGGCGCCCTTGCGGGATTCCCAAGACATGACTGAAGCTGTGGACTCATGGACACACACTTTTTGGTTTGCAGCACTTCTGTTCAGAACGAAGCAGTTTGGAAGCATCTGGGAGGCATTTCCAGCTTCTCATCCCATCTATGTTTTGATGTTGGTCTCAGGGCCCGAAACGGGCCCCTCGCGGTGAGCACACACAACCCGCGTCGGCTTCGGGCCACTGCCACGGCGTCGGTGGCGTGGCTCGCGGGCCTCAACGAAGCCGGCCGCTGGACCTCTCTTCGGGTGCGTCCGGGCCAGGAGGAGGAGGAGGAGGAGGAGGGGGAGGAGGGGAGGGGAGGAGGAGGGGAGGAGGAGGAGGAGGAGAAGGAGGAGGAGGAGAAGGTGGCGTGGCTCGCGGGCCTCCACGAAGTCGGCCGCTGGACCTCTCCTCGGGTGCGTCCGGGCCAGCGCTCCGAGGAGAACCCCTCCGCTGCGGCCAGCACCGTGATGTTTCTTTGCCGGCGGTGCGCTGCAAGCGACGCTATTCAAGTGAACAACATAATTCTCAAGTAGTATTTTTTTTTTTTTTAAAAAAAAACCTGTCTCCTCCTCCTCCTCCTCCTCC